GTTTCTCTCTTTTCACGTAACAGTAAGCATTGGCACGATCATTTAATTGTTCAATTCTATTCAAAACATCGAGAATTACATCTTTTGGAGAGAGGGAAAGTGAACGAAACCTTTCTAACATTTCTGATGCTGTTAGAAAGCACAATCTCTTATCTGTTGGTTGAGACATTTTTTTATTATTGTGAAATATCCTGCCAGACAGGCGGGGGGAGACAACCTGGCTTCAGCTACCACTAGGGAGGGTCATTTCCCGCCTTTCCTTTTTTGTCATATGATCAACAACTAAATATTCAAATAAAAACATCAGATTACCAACAACCAACAACAAAACACACCAAACCATGATCCTCTCCGCAGTTACTGAACATCTAACTCATGTTCGATTCATATTTTGGTTGTTCGAGTATTTGTTGGAACTGAATCAACGTTAAAAACAATTCAAAGTTGAAATAAATAAAAATTGTTTGGGGATTACTGATTATGATAAATTCGATATATTATTGGATGTTGAAAAGAACAAAGTAATGGATGGAAGTGGGAAAATAGCTGGCACTATTGTAAATAAATGTTTACGTTCTATTGACTGCACAAAAATTCACAACAAAAACAGAAAATCTGACTCGTGCGTGAAGTGTTGTGATTTGAAAAGCAAGCTAGATACAAATCTCCAAAAAGTTCATAAAATTCTAGAAAATCCAAATACTCTTCCTCCTTATTCATCCATAATACCATATCCTCAAGTCATGTATCAACTATTACGTGAAACTACGAAAGCTTTGGGAAAGTGTGAGCCCAGTAACTTTGAAACAAAAATAATAGAATCATTAAGGAAGGCCAAAGCACAATATGAGATTAATTCAAGTCTTAAATCAAAACATATTAAAATGAACAAAGATCCAACAATTGAAAATAAGCAATGTGAGCAAGAATTACTTGAAAATGAGCAAGAATTAATTGAAAATGAGCAAGAATTCATTGAAAAAGATACTGATCAATCCAAACAATCCAAAAAAACTGATAGATACACACACGTTCCACCTCAAAAACAAAATGGGAGACAGGTGAAATGTTTAAAAATCTAAAGTTTACAATGTGAAAGGTTCGTTTTTGATGTCAGTGAAGTTTTGAATAACTTTTTACATTATGGAAATTTTACCAATTTGCTTTTTACCCAGCATTATTGTAACATTTAAGGTCTCGAACTACAGTAAAGCTGTGGACGAATGGTTTCGAATAATAGTCAACATGACTTTGACAATCTAAAAAAGGCAACCAAAAAAAATTAAAAACCAAAAAACAGTTAAAAGAAATGACAACACTCCATCTCTCTGACTTTCTACCTCTGCAACCAATGCTTAGAGATAAATTATCTTCAAATCAACGAAATAGAATTTCATTTTCTGCAAATTTCGAACAAATTCATTCTTTAGGTCAAGAAGATTCGGATTCTTATAGATTTTCTTATCCGAAAGATGTGAAAATTTCATATCGGATGGGAATTGTGTTTGTGAGTGATTTTGGAAATCGAAAAATTGCACTTTTCAATTTATTTACAAAAATGTTTCTCTATTCGATAGAGTTGGACGAAAGTCCACAATGCCTAGCTGTGGATGAAGACGATTTTGACAACTTGTTCATCACTTTGAGTTTTACAAAAGTGTGCAAATTGAGAATTTGGCTCATGTTAGATGATGTAAAATATACGAAAGTATGGGAAAGAGGAGAAAAGGCAAAGAACTTTCGTCAAGTGAGACAAGAATTGAATTTGGACGAAATAGATCTTGCTTCTGATGTGGAAACTGCCATTCAACAACCTTCAC